TCTTCTCTAAGCTTTCCTGTCTTCTCATGATGTGGCCAAAGGACTTCATCTTTGCCTCTAATATCCTTCTTTCCAATGAGCAGTCGGGCTTTATTTCCTCGAGTATGGAATGGTTGGATCTTCTCGTGGTCCAAGGCACTCTCAGAACTTTCCACAGTTCAAAAGCATCTATCTTCATTCACTCAGCCTTCCTGATGGTCCAGCTCTCACATCCATAGGTTACTACTATGAGGAATACAATTGCTTTCACTATGTGGATTTTTGTTGCCAGGGTGATGTCTCTACTCTTCACTATTTTATTAAGATTGACCATTGCTCTCCTCCCAAGAAGGAAACATCTTCTGATTTCCTGGCTGCAGTCTGCGTCTGCAGTAATCTTTGCACCTAGAAATACAAAGTCTGTCACTGCCTCCACGTTTTCTTCCTTTATTTGTCAGTTATCAATCAGTCTGGATGCCAGAATCTTGGTATTTTTTATGTTTAACTGCAACCCAGCTTTTGCACTTTCTTCTTTCACCTCGATTAGAAAACTCTTCAGCTCCTTCTTGCTTTCGGCCATCAAAGTGGTATCATCTGCATATCTAAGGTCGTTAATGTTTCTTCCAGCTATTTTAACCCCAGCCTTGGAGTCATGGCAGGAATCATAGAATCATAGAATCAAAGAGTTGGAAGAGACCTTATGGGCCATCCAGTCCAACCCCCTGCCAAGAAGCAGGAATATTGCATTCAAATCACCCCTGACAGATGGCCATCCAGCCTCTGTTTAAAAGCTTCCAAAGAAGGAGCCTCCACCACACTCCGGGGCAGAGAGTTCCACTGCTGAATGGCTCTCATAGTCAGGAAGTTCTTCCTCATGTTCAGATGGAATCTCCTCTCTTGTAGTTTGAAGCCACTGTTTCGTGTCCTAGTCTCCAGGGAAAACAAGCTTGCTCCCTCCTCCCTGTGGCTTCTTTTTACATATTTATACATGGCTATCATATCTCCTCTCAGCCTTCTCTTCTTCAGGCTAAACATGCCCAGCTCCTTAAGCCGCTCCTCATAGGGCTTGTTCTCCAGACCCTTGATCATTTTAGTCGCCCTCCTCTGGACACATTCCAGCTTGTCAATATCTCTCTTGAATTGTGGTGCCCAGAAGTGGACACAATATTCCAGGTGTGGTCTAACCAAGGCAGAATAGAGCATGGGGAGCATTACTTTCCTAGTCCTAGACACTATGCTCCTCTTGATGCAGGCCAAAATCCCATTGGCTTTTTTTGCCGCCACATCACATTGTTGGCTCATGTTTAACTTGTTGTCCACGAGGACTCCAAGATCTTTTTCACACGTACTGCTCTCGAGCCAGGCATTGTCCCCCATTCTGTATCTTTGCATTTTGTTTTTTCTGCCAAAGTGGAGTATCTTGCATTTGTCCCTGAAGAGTGGTGTCAAGCTCCTATATGCATTATGGATCATATATAAGTCTACATTTACACTGCAGTTAAAGTGGTATTGAGCTGCATACATTCTGTGGTGTCAGGCATGGGCAAACTTTGGCCCTTCTAGTGTTTTGGACTTCAATTCCCACAATTCCTAACCACCTACTGGCTGTTGAGGTCCAAAATGCCTAAAGGGCTGAATTTTGCTCATACCTGGTATCTCTGGATCAGCAGAAAACAAGCTTGTTTTTCAGCTTGTTTGTCAAGCTAGCCATCTCGATTCCACAGAACTTTGAAGGCCTTGGCTCGTAACACTCTCCTTTTGATTAATTCATGTTCCCCAACTGCAGTTTCCTTCCAATCCAATCTCGGTGTCTCTTGCCACCTCCATTGCCACTGCAAGGACGCTGCCACTCAAACATTACCCATGTTCCCTGAGCGATTGGGAGATTTCCATTCTGAACATTTGTTTGACTTCCATCCTCATTCCACCTGCCTTCTCCTGTCCTGTCTTATCCATCACACAACGTCGCATTTTGCAGAGAAGCCTCCCAGGGAAATGGAGACTCATTCTTCTCAGTTGAAGGCGGAAAGCCATAAACATCCCTGAGGCAAACGGAGGCAAAATCAGGAGGCTGTGACCCAGGGAAACTTGCACTCGCAGGATCGTTTTTCGTGACATGGAGCTAAGTGGTTGCACTTTGGTGTGTTGCTGTGAATGTCGGGCAGAGGAAACTAAGAAGGGAACTGGGAACAGGCTTTTGAGAAGCTTCCCAGTGATTATAATTATACAAACTGAGCCTTGGCAATTAAATTTGAGTCAAACTCCACTCATTCTATAGTGTCAATGCACCCTAAGGCACTCTCAACGTTGACCATCTGTCCTCCATTTCATTCCCTTGTAGAATGCCTTCTCAGAAGCTTCTTCTCAATGTTAAAGGAGAATATGTTTTCCCCCTTTCAATATGAACCCATAGGTTTCTAACTTAGTATTTGGACAAACGTATTCCATCTTCTACATCAGTGTTTCTCAGCCTTCCTAATTCCTTAATAGAGTTCCTCTATTAACTGTAATTTTGCTATTGTTGTGAATCATCATGTACATATCTGATATGCAGGATGTATTTTCATTCACTGGACCAAATTTGGCACAAATACCAGATATGGCCACATTTGAATACTGTTGGGGTTGGGGTGGGGATGATTGCTTTTGTCATTTGGGAGTTGCAGTTGTGGGATTTATAGTTCACCTACAATCAAAGAGCATTCTGAAGTCCTTCAACAATGGAATTGAACCAAACTTGGCACACAGAACTCCCATGACCAACAGAAAATACTGGAAGGGTTTGGTGGGCATTGACCTTGAGTTTTGGAGTTGTAGTTCACCTACATCCAGAGAGCACTGTGGACTCAAACAAGGATGGATCTGGACCAAATTTCGCGCAAATATTCAATATGTCCAAATGTGAACACTGGGTGGAGTTTGGGGAAAACAAATCTTGACATTTGGGAGTTGTAGTTGCTGGGATTTATAGTTAACTTACAATCAAAGAACATTCTGAACCCCACCAACGATAGAATTGGGCCAAACCTCCCACACTGAACCCCCATGACAATGGAAAATACTGTGTTTTGTGATGGTCTTTGGCGACCCCTCGGACATCCCCTCATGACCCTTTCATGGGTCCCGAGCCCCAGGTTGAGAAACACTGTTCTACAGTGTCAATGAACATTAAGACACTCTCAACATTGACGATCTGCCCTTTATACCACCCCCTTGTAGAATGCCTTCACAGAAGCTTCTTCTCAATGTTAAAGGAGAATCTCCCCCCCCCCCCCCCTTTCAATATGAACCTGTAGGTTTCTAACTTATTATTTGGACAAACGTATTCCATCTTCTACATCAGTGTTTCTAAACCTTCCTAATGCCGACAAAAGTAGCGACAAAAATAATTTTAAGGTTGGGGGGTCACCACAACATGAGAAGCTCTTCCTAATGCCACAACCCTTTAATAGAGCTTCTCATGTTGTGGTGACCCCCCAACCTTAAAATTATTTTTGTCGCTACTTCATAACTGTACTTTTGCTACTGTTGTGAATCGTAATGTAAATCTCTGATATGCAGGATGCATTTTCATTCACTGGACCAAATTTGGCACAAATACCAGATATGTCCATATCTGAATACTGGTGGGGTTGGGTTGGGGATGATTGATTTTGTCATTTGGGAGCTGTAGTTGCTGGAATTTATAGCTCACCTACAAGCAAAGAGCATTTTGAACCCACCCAACGATGGAATTGAACCAAACTCAGAACTTCCATGACCAACAGGAAATACTGAAAGGGTTTGGTGGGCACTGACCTTGAGTTTTGGAGTTGTAGTTCACCTACATCCAGAAAGCACGGTGGACTCAAACAATGATGGATCCGGACTAAACTTGGCACAGATGTTCAATATGCCCAAATGTCAATACTGGTGGACTTTGGGGGAAATAGACCTTGACATTTGGGAATTGTAGTTGCTGGAATTTATAGTTCATCTACAATCAAAGAGCATTCTGAACCCCACCCATGATAGAATGAGCCAAACTTCCCAGACAGAACCCCCAGGACCAACAAAGCATACTGTGTTTTCTGGTGGTCTTTGGTGACCCCTCTGACACCCCCTCACAACTCCCCAGGGCAGGCATGTAGCCAGGGGTGCTGGAGGGGCTTCAACCCCCCCAATTCTCATGGTGGTCCGCGAGTAGGCCTTACTGGTACATTATTTAAACTGCTATGTTTATTCATATCATGATCTGATCACCATGCTCAATATATCCCATATGCATGGGGGTATTGGGGTAACGATACAAAAGGTTTGCTAGGGTAGACCCTCTTCCACTTTGACTCAGCCCTCGAATCAAACTCAGCCCCCCCCCCAATCAAAATCCTGTCTACGGGCCTGCCCCAGGGGTCCTGAGCCCCAGGTTGAAAAATGATGTTCTACATGGTATCTGTTCATATATTTACAAAATGTTGTCTTTTCACCTCTTCATCTTTTGCTCTCCAAGCTAAAGGTCCCTATCTCCAAAAACCATTCAGCATTGTCGTTGGTTTCCTGTCCTTTCATAGAATCATGGAATTGGAAGTGACCCCAAGGAACATCCAGTCCAACCCCATTTTGCCTCCCTCCTCCTTTGCATATTTTGCAGTCTTTGAGGTCCCTGAATCATCTGGTTGTAAAAATGTGTCCATTTCACTTATCATAAGGATGCCAGATTCATTTCTCTGGAAAGGGAATCCCAATAGAATTCAATTGATGTGGTGAACATAGACAACTGAATTCACTGTAGGAAGAGAACTAACCTTATCCATACCTCCTGGACCAAAAGGATGGCTTAGAACATAGGTCTCCATCTCTGAATTTTGCAGTGCAGAATTTGGTCAAAATGAGTAAAACATGGTGGGGGAAGGTTATTGCCATACAGCAGGTATGAAATGCATGGGAGATGCTTTTGAATAGGTGAGAGCCCTTATAATTGGACAGAGGAATCTGCACTGCACAGAGTCTCCAACCCATCAACCCATTTCTTTATTTTGCAGGCAACTTCAATGCATTCAGACTGCTTCCTGAGGAAGGAACAAGAGGCCTGCACAGCAAGCATCAAAAAGGCCACTGCCTTAATCCTGCAAAATAATTCTGTTCCAGGTATGTCCTCAAATGCAATCCACATGTCAGTGTCTGTTTTTGAGTGCTTTGTCTTGTGGAAAAAATATGGAAATGTATGAGGAATATAGCCTTCCCTTCAGGTGAATAAAGGATTGACCATGTGCTGGGTTAAGTTACATTTATTGAAGGTTAAGTTACAATTGTTTTAGGGGGGTGTTGTGAGTTTTCCGGGTTGCATGGCCATGTTCCATAAACAACAACAACAACAACAATACTTTATTTATACCCCACTCCATCTCCCCCATGTGGACTTGATGCGGCTTACATGAGGCCATGCCCAAAAATACAGTAACACAATATAACACAAAAGCATAACAAAACCAGAAATAAAATTCATAAAATGCAAAACCAATATAATAAACGAACACCAAAAGCAAATCAAACATTAAAACACAAAGGATTAGGCTGAGCAGGGCTGAACTCAATGATAAAAATTTTAAAATTCTGGGAGATAGGGCAATATAAATTATCGGGAGAAGGATCCGGGGATAAGGAAGGATTTAATTGCACAAACCATAAAATAAAGTGCTTCTGAGGTCATTTTATGTAAAGTTTGGTCAGGGAGTGTCTTACATTCAATCACTGAAGGCACATTGGAATAACCAGGTTTTCAGGTTTCTCCTGAAGATTGTCAGCGTGGGGGCTTGCCTCATGTCTCTGAGGAGTGAGTTCCAGACCCAGGGGGCCACCACAGAGAAGGCCCTCCCTCTCGTCCCCACAAGTTGCACTTGCAATGCAGGCGGGAGTGAGAGAAGTGCCTCTCTGGAAGATTTATCTATTTATTTATCGTGTCATCCGCAACCAGAACATTGTATTACATTTCTAACAGAACAAAACAAACAAACAGATAAAAAAACAAAACACATTTTTTGCAAACTTGGTAGTTGATTAAATGTCCTTTGACCAGTATCTGGCCACTTGGAATGCCTCTGGTGTTGCCGCAAGAAGGTCCTCCATCGTGCATGTGGCAGGGCTCAGGTTGCATTGCAGCAGGTGGTCAGTGGTTTGCTCTTCTCCACACTCACATGTCGTGGATTATTCAACTTTGTAAGATTTCTTAAGATTGGCTCTGCATCTCATGGTGCCAGAGCGCAGTCTGTTCAGCGCCTTCCAAGTCTGGAAGATCAAAGAGGTCGTGTGAGTTCATAGATAGAAATGCAGTTGCGCAGGTAGGCAGGTCCCAAACCATTCAGGGCTTTGTAGGTCAAAACTTGCACCTTGAATTGGGCCCAGAAAATAAACGGCAGCCAGTGGAGCTACTTAAACAGGAGGGTCGACCGCTCTCTGTAATTTGCACCAGTTAATAATCTGGCTGCCGCCCGTTGGACCAATTGGAGTTTCCGGGCCATCTTCAAGGGCAGCCCCACATAGAACACACTGCAATAGTCCAATGTAGAGGTAACTAAGGCCTCACAACCTCTGAGGATGCCTGCCGTAGATGCAGGCAAAACATCAGGAGAGAATGCTTCTGGAATATGGCCATACAGCCCAGAAAACTCACAGAAACCCAGTGATTCTGGCCATGAAAGCCTTCGACAATACAATTATTTTAGACTAACCTTGGGATTAACAGAGTTCCCAAGAGACAATTTCCCAATGGGGTTGACCAGAGGCCATTTATTTCAATAGAGTTCACTATTATCCATGGTTACCTGCCTTCATGGGAAGTTCAAGAACGTTTCCATCACAACACTGCCCATCCCCTTCTCAGGATTTGGCCATGTCATGGTGGATGAAAGTCAGCAACTGGGCAGGGAACATCTTGCTTCTTCACACTCTCTCAGCCTCAGTAAAAGCAAAACCTTCTGAACAAATCTTGCCAAGGAAACCCCACAAATGGTTTCCTTTCAGGTTACCATAAGTGATAAACAATATTTGCAGGATCCAAAAAAGTTATTTTCACACCCAGAGATGAAGGCCGCCTCTGTTCTCTGTCCCAGTCAGACTTTCCATGGAAGCAAAAGATGATAATTTTGTGGGAGATCATTGAGACCTAATACTAATACTAATAGGGCTCCCAGGAAGCCCTATTACTAATACTAAACCTAATACTAATAGGACCTAATACTAATACTAAACCTAATACTAATAGGGCTTCCAAGAAGCCTTGGGTATATGAACTACCAGCCTAAAGACAACCCCTTTCCAATTCAGGTTCAGAAAAGCACATTTTGGGCCCAGACCACTCAGCTTTGCCCACTCATGTTAGAAAACCTTTCTTTTGTCTATGTGACATTTGTCTAAAGAGACCCCATACTTCACGTGTCATTATTGAGTCGCCAATCGGCTGAGAAAGGCGGTATACAAATACAGTAAATAAATAAATAATAAATATTTGGACCTATCATGGACTCTTGGTATCCAATGGGGTTTTGTTTGTGATATCCTTGGCTACTGAATTTCCATTATATATTACATAGTAACACAGTGAAATGGCAACATCAGGGTTTGCAATTTGAAATTTTGGGTGGTTGGATCCCTGGATACAGAATCTGTGGACACGGAGATCCACCTGTATTATTTCCATCTCTGTTCATATACCATCCTGATGTTTTGCTCCTCAGCACCCAAAGATTTTCTGATGCTCTCAGTAAGAATTCCCACAACAGTGTGATTTATAATTCCTGTTGCACAGCTTGTGCATAACTACATGCTGTGTTGCATGGATATTGACAAATTAGAAGCCCTGTGTGGGTTTTGTCTGCACCTTTGCAAGGAAACCAGACAGTATTTCTCAGCTTGCAGGGGGTTGTGTGTGCTTTCCTGCTGCTGCTCCCATGAAGGATGAAAATGAAAAGGTGGGCAAAAGCTTTCATGGCTTCCAAGGGAAGGTTCCCACTGCAATGCAAAACAAGGGGCTTTCCACAGCAACAACTTGGTGTTACTGTTTCCTCACTTCCATCCCAGGACAAAATTGAAGCAGGCATGTACTGTGTCTCACCAGATACTTCACAGCACCTTCAGGTGTGGAATCAAACCCGTCTTCCTCTTGCTGTAAGTCCAATTGGGGGGCTGAATGTAGCTCTCAGTTCTTTTGTGGTCCCCAAAGGCCCCCAGGAAACCCCTACAATTCTCCACGAAATGGGGAGAAATTTCAACTGATTATTATTCAACCAAAACTTGTCCTCAGATTATGCAAACCACCATATTTCTGTAACTGTTTGTGTCATTTGTGGATATTTTTCTCATCAGAAAAATCTGTTGATTCCCCCCCTCCAAATGTACACTTGCCTCAGCTCCCTCCCCCAGTTTTCCCACAAGCATTACACTAAAAACCAGTATTTAATAGATCCCAGAATAGGGAATATTTTCCTGTTCTGTCAGGATCATGGATGTGAAATTGCAGGAGTGTTGTGGACGAACAGCTTCATTCCCCTTTGCATTTGACTTTTAAAAAAAAGATGTACAGGCAGTCCTCGAGGGTTGGCTATAGCACAGCAGGTTAATCACCAACTGCAGCTGCAGTAAATCTTGCCAACCAAATGGCTGACAGTTTGAAGCCAGGTCAGGGTGAGCTCTTCACCTTCAGCCCAGCTCCCCCACCCACCTATTAGATTGACAACAGCAATGAATAGATGAGTAGAAACCACATTAACCAGGGAGGTATTTTAGACATGGTATTTTGGAGGAAAATTTACGAACAAAGAAAGTTCTTTGACAAGGAGATGGAGTGACAGCATTCCTCTGTGGCCAGAACCGAGCACAGCCTCCAAAAGATGCCAAATGATGAAACAAAGTCTAAAATATACCTCTATTTGTTGTCTGTCTTGTCATTGTATAATCAGCATTGAACGCTTGCTGTATATGTGTTCTGTGATCCATCCTGAGTCCCCTTCCATCTGAACATGAGGAAGAACTTCCTGACTGTCAGAGCTGTTCAGCAGTGGAACTCTCTGCCCCGGAGTGTGGTGGAGGCTCCTTCTTTGGAAGCTTTTAAACAGATGCTGGATGGCCATCTGTCAGGGGTGCTTTGAATGCAATTTTCCTGCTTCTTGGCAGAATGGGGTTGGACTGGATGGCCCATGAGGTCTCTTCCAACTCTATGATTCTATGAGAAGGGCAGAATATAAGGACTGTAAATAAATAAATACAAATATCCAACTTAGAAACAACTCCGTGTTGTGAATGAGGGTTCGAGAACAGGAAGTAAGAGAAATCCACTCCTGGAATTGTTATTATCAGGAGGAAAAGAGGTCTCTATTGAAGCATCATCATCAATCCTTGTTTCCACAATAAGCTAATTTTTTCAACATCCAATTCTCACAAGGACAGAAAGTGAGGCGAAACAGAAGCACAGACAGCAAAACAAACATCACAGGGGCATTAATCCTTCCCTATGCAATCCAAGGCTAGAACCTTTCTCATTTGTAACTTGGAAACTGTATGCACAAACACACACACGCACACACTATGTGTAAAACTTTATAGAAAAAGAAAAGCGAAACACACATAAACATAACAAATCACACAGCCTACAAAAAATCACAGAGATACATACAGTTGGCTTTTCAAATTTGCAAATTGGACTTTTGTGTATTTAATTTTTCAGGGATTTGATTTAAAATGTCTTTTAGGTCTTCCAGTTTTTGGAAATAGCACTGAAGGCAAGGAGTGGCAGATCCCCTGATACAATGCTGGCACTTTCCCCTTCCGTGGAACAATCCCTGGCTTATCTACAGGTCATATCAAAATCCATAATTCTGGTCCAAAAATCTGCCCTCAACTTATATATGAGATCAACTTATACATGAGTCTGTATGGGTAAATCAGGAGGCATCTTTTCCAGTTCAACTTCGTGGTTGAAAGAAACCCTCTCCAACAAGGCATGAGGACGATTTTATTTCAAACACTACCTTTGGGGAGCACATCTTCACCCTTCGCTCCCTGCTGCCTTGGTTTAATTGTCTGGAAAGACAAAGTGGTACGGGAATGGCTTCGCACTTTCGAGAGCCACCACAGCATCAGGTTCACTCACGCTG